CAAGTTTCAGTTTATACAGTTGAAGTTTCTTATTTCCATAAATCAATAAAAACTCACAATGGCTTAAAATAATTAAATTAAATTAAATTAAATAATAGCAGAGTTGGCCTAAAGCATTAATGGGGAGGCTACACCACAGTGGGGAGCCACCACCAGTAAAGATATTCTCTCTCTCTCTCTCTCTCTGTTTCTCATTGCTTCCTGTAACCTCTGGTTCTGTTGGATCAGGACTTCTGGACTCCACTTTTTGATTTAACTCAAATATCTGTGTGTGATTCATGGCAGGAGTAACTAGAATGTGAACAGGCATTTAACCTTCTCCCTCATGGCATCTATAATTTTTCTGTAATTTACCCATAGTTTGGGAATACTATTTTTGGACTACACTTTACAGAATTCCTCCAGCCAGTGAGGCCATTGGAAGTTACTGTCCCCAAAAGTGTTTTTTCCAAGCTGTGAACTTGAGGCATATGTGAACAGGACAAATGTTGCTTACTCGTGAAGGTGCTTTTTAAAAGTGACCTAAAGTGCATCTACACTGTATAAATAATCCACTTTGACTCCATTTTATCTTCCATAGCTCCCACCTACAGATTCTTGGAATTTTTGCACTGTTGTGAGGCACCAGCACTTTCTGGCTTAGGCCCAAAACAGATGGGCCCAAAAGAACTATGCGAGCCTGCGCTGGCGCTGTTCGCACCGGGACCGTGGTAACCTCACATGCCCAATCCCAGTCTGGGCTGATACTGTGGCCCTGAACCGGACCAGTTCTTTTCATTGGTACAGCCTCGGGGCATGCATCGTATAAACAGCACACCCCCAATGCCGCATCATTTTGCCCATCTGTTTCAGACCTGAGAAGGCTAAAATCCTTGTAAAATTACAAATCCCAGGGAAAATGCCATGTCACACCACTTTAACTGCCTTGGTTCCATTGTATAGAATCCTGCAAGCTGTAGTTTCATGAGGCACCAGCATACTTTGGCAGAGAAGGCTAAAGACCTTTTACAACTACCAATTCCAGATTCTGTAGTGTAGAGCTATACACTCATTCCTCCATTTCACTGGGGTTAGGGGCACAGAACCCCTATGAATATGGAAAAATCGCAAATATCAAAACCACTATGTTTTTACCTGAGAGAACACCTGTCTAGGAATCTCTAGGTACTCCAGTGCAACTCTGTGGTCAACACCTGCCAGACATTGACCATAGAATTGTGATGGAAGAGCTACAGATGCCTAGTGGAGTGTTCTCTCTAGGGATCTCTGGTCCTTCAGTACAACTTTTGGTTAAAGTTGACCATAGAGAACATATTAATAAAATCCGTGAATAATCAAATCTGCAAAAGTCAAAGCCACAAATATGGAGGGACAAGTGTATAGCACTTAAAATGGTGTCAAACAGCATCATGTCAAATTGCCAGTTCTAAATGTGGGGAAGCACTTCATGAACAGTCACAGACACACCCCTCTCTACCAGCAACAACAACCAAAAAAAATGTCTTTAGTATTTTTTAACAGGGGAGGATCCAAAAGTTTGCCTGTTAAAAAGGACATCAGTGCTGCTCCAGAAAACTTTTTTGTCATTTTTGCCTACCTTTTTTGCCTTCAGAGATGGGTTCTGAGTGCTGTATAACATAACTTTCATGACTACATTATTCCTTGTTGGTTGAGAGCACCCATATGACTCTTCCTAGAATGAAGATGACAACAACAAAAAAGCATTGATGCATAACTAAGACGGACAAACAATGGTAACCAAGAATTATAAGAAGAAGAAAAGTATTATAAATGGTAGAGTTTGAAGCATAGTCTCAGTCTCTCCTCCAAACACTGCTTTTCATTCCAAAGCACAAGGAATATTCAGCATGGGCCTCTCCTTAACTTAGGGCCTTTGCAAACTGCCAGAAATAGTGCAAATTGAGTCCACTTTAAGGGTTAGGATTAGGGAATCATGGGAACTGTATTTTATTGTGGCACCAGAGCTCTCTGACAGAGAAGGCTCAATGTCTCAGAGAGAAAAAAATTCCCACGACTCCCTAGCACTAACCCTAACCCTTAAAGTGGACTCAATTTGCACTATTTCTGGCAGTCTGCAAAGCAAGTTAATGTTCTTATCCAATTCTAAACTTATGCTGTAGAAGAATGATTTAATAGTCTGAAGACATGTAAGTACCTGCAAGCAATGTTCTTGTCCAGCTATAATTCATTTACATAGACTTATCCAATGAAAACCTTTCATAGATTGTGCTGTGTTGTCAAGTGCATTGAAATAAACACATAAACACTCTTTTGCAAAGTTATGAATTTGGTAATTCTCAGGTAAAATTAATGAAACTTGACTATTCCTTAAATTTGACTCAGTTATCTCTGGTGGTAATATACAGAACTGAGATCCAGTCCTTTCATGTGTGACTGAATACAGTATTTCAGAAACATTCAATGATCAGCCTTTATTGAAAACATTTTTCAAAAGAAAAATTCTGCCATTTGTTTCACTTATATTTTTGATAGTAATATTTTTACTTTAATTTAATTTAAATAACATATTAAACACACTAAAGGGCCATTACACTTTGTTCAGCTTCTGTATTAAAATGGCCTAACAGTGACCCAGCCTGTGTCATAATTGCACCTTATCAAAACATCACTTTTATAACACCTCCTGCATGTTTCCTTTTTACTAGACTATTTACAGTTTGGTTCAGTCCCATATGTTTCTCTGTGGAATTGAAAACTTATTCCTTTTGCCTCACTGCTATGCCTAGAAAGAGATGGTTTACAGATTTTTGAAATGGTGACTGCCATCCAGCCCCCCCCAAAAAAATCATTACAAGAGATAATAGTTGGGAAAGTATGGATTCCATAAGCAGAGATGCTTCTGCAATACACAATACAGACACACATACACACAATCCGTTTGCACCCTATTCTGCTTTAATAATAGGCAGATTTGCTGTAGAACAGTGGTGAGTAACATGCATACTGTGGGACACCCCCAGAAGCCCCTCAAAGCCCTCAGATATCCCCATTTAAAAAAATTGCCTCCAAACTACCCCAAATCTCCCAAAACCATTTTGAAAGCAACAGTTTACTTCCCCAACCCCTGGGACCCCAAGCCTCCTCAAAACAGACCAAAAGAAGAAAAAAATCAGTCAAAAATTGACCAAAATGGCAGCCAGAAGTGGCATAACGTCACTTTGGGTGCACTGAAATGCACTGCTGTGGCCCACCAAACAGGGACAAAAAGGACAAATGCCCCCTACCCTGTTTGCAGTTGCCCATCCCTTCAACAGAACAACAAAATAGTATCTTCCTAATAGACAGCAAATATATTGAGCATTCATTCAGTTTGGTTTTTGGTTCAGAAATTTTGGACAGTGGAGGAACTTTTCACCACTGCAAGAATGTTAGTAATGCTGATGTAGAAAGTTACTTGAGGCTTCCCTAAGCATTCATGTGTCCAGCAGAATTTGAAAGTTATCTTGGGGAAAATCATAACACATACGTAACACACACATTTTAAAGTGCTGTTGAATTTTAAAACTATTGTGGGGTGTAGCATGTGGGACTCCTCTGTAAAAAAAACACATTTTGATGGACAGACGGCAGTTCCACCCCTTTCTCATTCAGAATTGATCCATCAATCAAAAACTTAGCACAATCCTGAGTATATTTACTTTGAGTTCCACTGTGTTTAGCGAGTCATGTACTCCCTAATATTGAGGACTGTGTCCTGGCAAGGTGTCAGAAGAAGACAGAAGTATGTGATATTTAAGTAAGAAATACAAAGCAGTCACACCTGATCTTTAGAAATTTTGAAAGTTTAGACAGAGGATGAATACAATGTAAGCTTATGTTGCATCACTTTCTAAACAGCCTTGAAACCCACACTAATTGGCCATTATGATGACTAACAGTCTTGAAACCCAGCCTAATTGGTCATTTTACTACCAGCCCATAGTCCATGCTGGCAGGGCATGATGGTAGGTTTGCCATATTCCTGTCCTGCAGATTTGGGTATCTAATATGCATATGATGCAAATTATTCTAATGATGCATATTGTTTGTATTTGCATTATAATTATGTAAATTTAACACAGTAATTGCTGCATTTTCCCTACCACCATGCTTTGGCTTTGATAATATTTTTATAGTAAACACTGGCATAAGAGAACAAGTACAGTAGAATGCTGAAGTTAGAGCGAAGAGATGCAAGTCTAAATCCACTCCATCTCCCTCCTTTCTCTCCCTTGACTCACATTGCACCCTTGCAATGCTGCTCTCCCTTGCTTCTTGTGCTCCACTACTTACACCTCTTATCCCTCCTTCATCCAGCTTGCCCTTAAGAACACATGAGAGAGGGGCCTTCTTGGTGGCTGCTTCCAGACTTTGGAACTCCCTTCCTAGGGAACCTAGTATGGCTCTTTGCTGCTCTCTTTCCATTGGCAAGCAGCAGGCTTTTAGGAATGAACTATGGGGGCTTTCAACTGTATACTACTTTGCTGGGTGTTTTTTCTTCTTCTTTTAAATGGGGTTGTTTTAAATCAGGGGTAGGCAACCTAACGCCCGGGGGCCGGATGTAGCCCCCCGAGGCCTTT